AAAAGTAAAAAAAAAAAAAAAAAAAAAAAAAAAAAATGAGGTTGCAGGCTTGATCCCTGGCCCCAGTTGGGGCACACGGGAAACAACCACTCGATGTGCCTCTCTCATAGCAATGTTTCCCTTCTCTCTCTCTCTCTCCCCCCCCCCTTCCACTATCTCTGTAAAGCAATGAAAACAATATCCTCAGGTGAGGATTTAAAAAATAAATGAGGGATGGACCTTGAGGGCATTATGGTAAGACAAGTAAACCAGAACAAAGAAAGGCAATCACCATATGATCACACCTATAGAAATCTAAAAACAGCAATACAAAGAACAGATTGGTTGTCACCAGAGGTTGGGGGGTGGGTGTGAGAGAGAAATGGGTGAAGGTGATCAAAAGGTACAATCATACACGTAAATCCTGGAGATACAATGCACAGCATGGTGACTATAGTTAATAACACTTTATTGTCTATTGGGAAGTTGCTGAGAATAGATCTTAAAAGTTTTCATCACAGGAACAAAAAATTGTAACCATGTGTGATGATGGATGTTATCTAGACCTGTGGTGATTATGATGAAATATATACTTACATCGAATCCTTGTTATACACCTAAAACGAATATAATGTTATATGTCAGCTATATCTCAATTTTTAAAAAATAACTAAATTTTTTTTGAGGGATTTCTTTCCCCAAAATGTATTCTGTTCTAAAATTCCTGCTAGCTTAGATAGACTCAACAGTCTCTCTCCCAGACCATTAGAGGGCACTAGCAAGTCAAGCCAGGCTGAGCCCTAAGCACAGTGGATGAGCTACAGTGAGAATAACCATCTTCTTTTGGCATCAGCAGACAAAGCTGGTTAAAATCATGCTGACCCTTGGATGACTGTCTTCAGCTTTTTCTGGCAAGCGTTGGCTAAAAGAGTCTTTTTGAAGTGGGGCATTCTGGTTCCCATCCCACAAGAACAAGAAATGAATGACACACCAGGAAACGGCCCCGGCAACAGCTCCCAACTGTTTTCAGAGCAGCAGCCCATAATCACCTTATTTCCCTGCTGCAAGTATTGTCGGAGGGACCCTCTGGCCTTTGGCATGCTGGGAGGCAGCACAGATGGAAGGCTGGAAAAATACAGAGTGAACGCTGCTATCAAACTGACCAGCTGCCGATGCTGTTCCTTGGGGTCCCACACCCTCCAAACAAAAAGAACAGAATCAGGCAAGAAGCGAGAGCCCAGTACTCCTCAGTGGAAACAAAAGCTCGGTGAAAGTTGGCAAGCCTGCCTGTTCTGAAATGATTCCCAGACAATGGTAAATTGGGAAAGTGGTCAGTGTTGAGTGGAGACACGTGGGCCTGGCTGCACAGCCCAATTCCTCACCTCTCTTCACGACATGTGAAAGTAAAAAAGACAGAGTTCGGGGGAATAAGGTTCACCTATTTCCATGAAATCCAATTAAAGAACAGTATGCCAGACAGGTAAGACTCTACTGTAGTGCTTTAGTCTACATATGCTGGAAGATGACCCATGTTCAAATCCCAGCTCTGCCACTCACTGGTCAGCTGAACCTGTGCAAGTTACTCAGTTTTTCTGTGCCTCAGTTTCCTCATCTGGAAAATGAAGGTAATAGTAATAATAGTTCTTACTTTCTAAGTTGTTATGAGGATTTACATAGTCCCTGACACAGTATTAGTGCTCAACGAATGTAAGCTATTATCTAGTGCTAGTGGTGATGGGTATAAAAATCTTAAATTACAGAGCTTTTCTACCCTTATTTCACAAGCCAGCCCAATATCTTGGGGCCTTTATTTTGAGGGAATTCTCTCTTCCTTTAAAGACCCTCAAAAAGCTTATAGACAATCATTCAAATTAACCCAGGATTAATACATTGGGAAAACCCCTATATCACACAACTAAAAATTATTTTTAAAATCTGCCCCAGGCTGTATACACTAAAGTATGTTTCTTTTCTCACTTAAGCTGCTGGTTGTGGAAGTTATTCCCCAAAGGTAAATTTAGTAGGGTTTGATGTGAAGGTTTAGAAATACAGTGTCTACACTTTCTTAAGTTGCTCCCTCAATAGTTGAAATGCCAACTAATTCCCCATAATTGTATGCTAGGACAAACACTTATAGTAAAATTAATTAGTGTGGCTCATTATATTTTCCAAAAATGGTCACAACAATGTTACCTCTTACACAGGAGGCAAAGGAAGGTCAGATTATTCTTGCTGGTTAAGTAATTTTAATTCAAAATCATAAATATGCCAAAGTGACCTATTTTGATGTGGCCTGCCCTGAATTCCATCATTAGTCTTATAAAATAAGCTAACCTAAGTTCTGTTTGTATGAGTAAACTGGCTTTATCTGCTCTGGGAATTTTCAAGGCCAGTCTCCATTTGTCCTTGATTTTAACATGAACTAAATGGCACAGAAGTTTTATTCTAGATACTATATCTGTGACATGGCCATCCAACTTCAGGGAGTGATGGGTGATGGTCTGTTCCTTGGTCCTCTGCAGCCAATGCAGAACTTGGTGAAGAAAATGATGCTGGATGGCCCATCAGCCCACCCAGATTATCTGCGGTTGGTATTCTGCTTGAGGTAGTTGGTGTAACGAGTCAGGAGTAATTTCTCGAACCTGCTGCTATAGATGACCCATGATGGAATCAGGCTCAGAAAGTTCACCTTAAATAGACAAAAATATGAGTGTCTGGGTGAAAAGAAGAGCAAGGAAGTTACAACTAAAATATCTCAGGTTATATTCATCATTTTAAAAAATATTTCTTCTGACTACTGAAGTTAAGTCCCCAAATCCTTTAGTACAGTCATGTGTCACTTAACGAGGCGGATTTGTTCTAAGAAACACATCATTAGATGATTTCTTCGTTGTGCGAGTGTAAGTACGAGAGTGCACTTACACAAACCCAGATGGTGTCGCCTACTACGCACCTAGGCTGCATGGGGTAGCCTGTTGCTCCTGGACAACAAACCTGTACAGCGTTGTACTGAATACTGTAGGCCATAATAACACAACAGTAAGTATTTGTCTGTTTAAACATGAAAAAGTTCATTTAAAATATGGTTACAATATGGTATAAAAGGTAAAAAATGGTACATCAGTATAGGGTACTTACCATGAATGGAGCTCGCAAGACTAGAGTTGCTCTGGGTGAGTCAGTGAGTGAGTGGTGAGTGAATTAGAAGGCGCAGGACACCACTGGGCAACACTATGGACTTTATAAACACTGCATACTTAAGATATACTAAATCTATTTTTTAAATTTTCATTCTGCAATAATAAATTAAACTTAGCATGCTATAGCTTTTCTACTTTATAAACTTTTTAGTATTTTTAACTTTGAATTCCTTTGTAATAACACTTAGCTTAAAACACAAGCACATTTTATAACCGTACAAAAATCATTTTCTTCTTTTACATCCATATTCTATAAGCTTTGTCCTAATGTTGCATTTTTAATTCATTTTTTTCTGTTTTGTTTTTTACACTTTTTTGTTAAAAGCTAAGTCACGAATGCACACACCAGCCTAGGCCTGCGCAGGGTCAGGATCACCAATGTCAGCGTCTTCTGCTCCACACCTTGTCCCGCTGCAAGGTCTTCAGGGGCAGCAGCCGCACAGGGCCCCGTCCCCCACGAGAGCCACGTCTCCCTCTAACGCACCCCCGCAGGACCTGCCCGCGCCTCTTCTGGAGGGGTGCCGCTCTCTTTGGAAATACGTCCATAGTAGTTTGTTTCTTTTTTTTGTTTTCATCGTAGATCTGCTTGTAAGCCGATAATGCAGCATGAACATTCCTCTCTGTAAATGAAAACCTTTAGGTGTTTTTAACTAATGAAAATCTTTTTAAGAAGCTTGTTGAAGTCTGCAAAACTTCTGCTGGACGACTCGCTGGGCATTTGCTCGAAGGTTCTTTCCTTGGGCAGCCTCCTTCGCCCGCGCGCCTTCTCCAGCTGCGCATCCCTGTCCCAGTGCCAGCTCCCCGGGCGTCAGTTCCCCAGGAGTCACCCCAAGGAGCCTCTCTGTCGCTCTCCTTTACACCAGGTTAGAGCTGGTTGCGTCTCAACCACAACCTTGTTCATTTTTGCAGCCTCCACATCTTTGGCAAATCCTTTGACGTCATGGACAAACTTCTTTTTAAAAAAAAAAAAAATATATATATATATATATCTTTATTGATTTCAGAGAGAAGAAGGGAGAGGGAGGGAGAGAGAGAAACATCAGTGATGAGAGAGTCATTGATTGGCCGCCTCCTGCACCCCCCCACTGGGGATCAAGCCCTCAACCCGGGCATGTGCCCTGACCGGGAATCGAACCCCGATCGCTTGGATCCCAGGTCGACACTCAACCGCTGAGCCACGCCTGGCCTGGCTGGACAAACTTCTTGAGTGTCTTCTTCCAGATGCCACTCATACCCTCCCTGAGGACATCACCGCGCGCCCAAGCAAGTTTCTTGATGCAGTCATGGGTGCTATTTTTACAAAACTGCATCAGTGTCTTCATTATTTGCAGCAATAGCCTGGGCAAAGGTCCTCCTCAGGTAGGGGCTTTAAAAGCTGCAACAACTCCTTGGTCCACTGAGGTGTTTGGAGGGAGAAACACACTGATATTTGGATGAAGATCACCGATAAGAGGAGGGTGTCTGGGAACACTGTAAGTAATAAGCAAAGCCTTTAAATGCGTGTTATTCTCGGAACAGCTCTTCTCCATTTCGCTGGCCTAGCCACCGGGGAGGGCATCTTGGAAGAGGAGCTGGGTCCCCTAGGACTTCATATTGCTCCTGCACACTGGCAGGGTGTGCTTATGGATATGTTTGAAGTCCCTGGGGTTCTCGCCCTTCCAGATCACACACTGTTTCCATTTGTAGCCCGCAGCATTGCCCTCAAGCAAGCCCGTTGTTCTGTCCTTGAACAGCTTACATCCTGGCGTTGACTTGGTCTCCTTACCAGTGAAAGTCCTCGGTACCTATTCCAAAACAGGGCCATTTCCTCCATGCTGAATATTCGCTCTGGCAGGTAATCTTCCTCCACAACCAGCTCATCTGGAGTTTCCAAAACTTCTTCAGCTTCCTTCACGTCAGCACTCGCAGACCCGCCACTCACTTTCACATTATGGAAAGAATACCTATCCTTGAATTTCTTAAAACCCCCCGAGCTGGCAATAAATTCAACATCATAGTCAGGCGCAGCCTTTCCTTTCAAGATCACAAACTTTTTGCTTCGGCCGTGATCATCATGGTCCTGAGAAGGGGGTGCTTCTGCGTCTGGTCTTCCATCCGGGTCGTTAGAAGCTTCTCCATGTCTGAGGCAGGCCCTTCTCACACTGTTGTTCCATTGCCTTCAACAAAACAGGCCCTTGGACAGCCCCCATGCCTGTGTCTGCTCTTCATGACGCAGCTGTGGTGGAGTGGGACATGCCTGCCTGCTGAGCAGTAACATCACTGATCTTCCACCTTCATGGGCTTTACTCCCTGATCATTTCATTTCCAGGTCAATCGCTCAACGCGGCCTCTTGCTGGCAACATTCACAGTGGGTTTTGTAAGCTTAGGGGCCACGTGAACAAAGCAACACAAGGTGAAATCAAGCTCAAGAGAAAACGATGCACTCAACAGGCATGGCAAACACAAGACGTGTGGGCCGCCGTTGCGCTAGGGCAGGCCGTTACAGCGCACGGTCCCGCGGAGGGGTGCGCACGCGAGCAATGGCGAAAACAGCGCAGGGAATGCACAGGCCAGGAACAGTCATTTATTATCACATCAAGTCATACACACTATAGATAATTGTATGTGTCATACTTAGTAGTATTATTAAAAAATTTTAGTGTTGACATTATTTCCCGTCTCCTCCTTTGCCCCCCTGTGCCCCCCTCCACCCATCTCCAGCACCCTGTCCCTTGGCCGTCACCAAGCTGTTGTCCATGTCCATGGGGTCTGCCTATATGCTCTTTAGCTAATCCCTTCTCCTTCTTTATCAGCCACACACACTCCGGACACAGGGCAGTCTGTTCCATGTGTCCCTGCTTCCTATTCCATTTTGTTCATCAGTTTATTTTGTTCATTAGATTCCACATATTAGTGAGATCATATAGTATTTGCCTTTCTCTGACTGGTTTATTTTGCTTTGCATAATACTCTCCAGGTCCATCCATGCTGTCCCAAAGGGTACGAGATCCTTCTTCTTTACAGCTGCGTAGTATTCCATGGTGTGAATGTCCCACAGCTTTTTATCCACTCAGCTACTGATGGGCACTGGGGCTGTTTCCAGATCTTAGCTATTGTAAACTGTGCTGCTAGGAACATAGGGGAGCATATATTCTTTCTGATTAGTGTTTCGGGATTCTTGGGACATATTCCCAGAAGTGGGATCGCTGGGAATACGTGACTGGCAGCACAGCAGGTGTGTTTCCACCAGCATCGCACAGACACATGAGTAACACGTTGCTCCAACACTAGGATGGCTATGCCTCAGTAGGCGATGGGAATTTTAATATTTGTTCCATTGTCATCTATGGGACCACCATCATATATGCGGTCTGCTGTTGACAGGGCCATACTTATATGAAAAATGACTGTAGTTGCTACCATTTAAAGGTTTGCTGACACTTCCTCAGCAAACAAGTCTTTCTCAGAAACCAAAACAGTCCCTCACTGGATCAGCCCTGAGGAAATTCTAAATTAAGAGAATTAAGAGACCTGTGACCATGGTAAAGCAGCTGTGCCCCCCCCTCCCCCCCGTGAGC